TTTGTGTTTGTCAGTTGCTGTTCTGCTCTTGTTAATGAATCCTTGTGTTTGTCAGTTGCTGTTCTGCTCTTGTTAATGAATGCTTGTGTTTGCCAGTTGCTGGATGAGATGCTGGACAATGGCTTCCCACTGGCTGTGGAGTCCAACGTCCTGAAGGAGCTGATCAAGCCTCCAAACTTCCTGAGGTCAATCGCTGACACAGTCACTGGCAAGTCTACAAGGTCAGGCTTCAGGCTCTTGTTGTGTTTGACATCGTGTGCAATATTACTGTGTCACAGGGAGTGTGAAAAAAGAATTCTCACATACTATATATATAGCTAGTTTATCATATGACTGTGAATCCTGGACAGTGAATAGACAAGCCAAAAAATTTCTTGAGGCCTAGGAGATGTGGTTTTACAGAAGAATCCTTAGAATTCTTTTAAAAGCTAAAAAGAGATGTTTTGAAAGACGCTAGGGCTCGAAGGCAACACAAGTATCGGAAAGAGACAAGTCATAATTTGTTGTCCTGTCATAAAAAGAAGGAAATTGGAACTTGCTGTGACCATTAGAAAAGTCTATGGAAGAAAGGACCCCATAAGCATGGCGTAAAGCAAGACTAATTAGGCGTATCTCCTTGGACGTTGAAGTACATCTGCCTGAGAGGCAAAAAACCATTAATCTGCGCACAAATAAGCCAGATCTGTAAATCGAAAGTGCACACAAAAATCAGGTTCTGGAAATGAGAGTCCAGCACTCTTCACCAGAGTTTACAGCCAGTGAACACTAAGAAGGAGGATCTTTATGAAAGTTAATTTTTGTTTTGTTTTGAAAACAGCTAGACCTGACCTTCAAAATTGACCCATAGTTTAAAAAAAATAAAAAAGTGAGTCCTGGGAAATGATTGGCACCTTTCTATCTTTCTAGACGATACTGTTATATTGCACTGTGAGGAGACAGGGGACTCACAGCTCATGAGGATGGCATTGTGTCCATAGCAAGACCCGCTCGTGTTTTTAAAATCTATTCCGAGACCACTTACGGCCAGGGCGGAAGCTCATCCTCTCCATAATACAAAGCCCGGGCAGTATTGTAGAGACCATATGTTGTCCATGCATCATGATCCCTCCCTCGACCTGCCTTGTTTACTCCAGAGGAAAGTTAACACCAGTATGTTTAGAACAAAGTAGGCTGCAGATGCTCTATCTGTCCGCATATCAGAGCTTCCCTCATAGACCAGCTGCTAGCCAAGGCTAAGGGCCTGGTCTGCCATAACATAAGGTTTTCAGGTTGCATTTCCTTGTCCTAGGATAAGACCAGCATCCTCCCCAGTGCACTCCTCCGCCCGAAACCATTGTTGTGGGAAATAAAAGCAACAGTATTCTTCTTCTTTCTTCGCGTTCCCCAGCTGTAAACTCTGGCGGAAAGTTCTGGTTGTTCATCCACTTCTGGACTGCAGTCCTGTTCCAGAACCTGAATGTTGCGTGTGCATCCATTTGACAGATCTGACTCATTTGTGTGCAGACTGTTGGTTCCTTGCCTTTCAGACAGATGCACTCCGACTTCGAAGAAAGCTCCCAATTAGTCGACTCTTACGACATGATTTTGGGGAGGCAGTGGGTCTATTCTTGTTTTCCCCATAATAGGGCCACAGTACCCACACGGGGAACAACAGTATTGACCACATTACTAATTGAGTGTGAACTGGTCTATAAAAAGGAACTTCCAGCCCAATATATAGGATAGGCATGGCAGCATATTTAGCTTTGAAGTTATTTTTGCCTCTGACAGCACTTTGTTAATGCAGTTTCCACATATGGATGGAAGTCTGCAGTTTTGCTGCCTAAGCTACTGGGTTACATGCTTGGTGCAACACTGTAAGCTGTGTTTTTCATGTAAAATGCATTTCATTTGTGTAGCGGCGGTTGAGTCTTCGTATAGCCTGGGGGCAGATTTACATATAGGCTTACAAAATTTCTTATGTAATAATGTTGTGTATGTATGGCCAACTTATTGTAACCGACTACTTCCATCAACGACAAACTGCATATCTGGTGACTATGACTATAACCAGTCTATAAAAGAAAAGGAATACCACCGTTATGTCCAATACATCTCAAGGCGTATAAAGAAAACTTTTAATCTTCTTACATGTTTTATGTCACTGCAGTGTTGGAGCAACGCTGCCAACTGGCCAGCTTTCAAACATTCCCTGGCGCCGGACCGGCGTCAAGTACACTAACAATGAGGCTTACTTTGATGTCATCGAGGAAATTGATGCAATCATCGATAAGTCTGGCTCCACAGTCATCGCAGAGATTCAAGGCTATGTGAGTGATTGTGTTTGATTGGGTTTAATATCTTTCTGTCAAAGTTAGAAATGATATTATCAGACGAACTGTGGGAATGTCAGTTAGAAATGATATTATCAGACAAACTGTGGGAATGTCAGAAATGATATTATCAGACAAACTGTGGGAATGTCAGAAATGATATTATCAGACAAACTGTGGGAATGTCAGTTAGAAATGATATTATCAGACAAACTGTGGGAATGTCTGTTAGAAATGATATTATCAGACAAACTGTGGGAATGTCAGTTAGAAATGATATTATCAGACAAACTGTGGGAATGTCAGTTAGAAATGATATTATCAGACAAACTATGGGAATGTCATTTAGAAATGATATTATCAGACAAACTGTGGGAATGTCAGTTAGAAATGATATTATCAGACAAACTGTGGGAATATCAGTTAGAAATTATATTATCAGACAAACTGTGGGAATGTCAGAAATGATATTATCAGACAAACTGTGGGAATGTCAGAAATGATATTATCAGACAAACTGTGGGAATGTCAGTTAAAAATGATATTATCAGACAAACTGTGGGAATGTCAGTTAGAAATGATATTATCAGACAAACTATGGGAATGTCAGAAATGATATTATCAGACAAACTGTGGGAATGTCAGTTAGATATGATATTATCAGACAAACTGTGAGAACGTCAGTTAGAAATGATATTATCAGACAAACTGTGGGAATGTCAGTTAGAAACGATATTATCAGACAAACTGTGGGAATGTCAGTTAGAAATGATATGATCAGACAAACTGTTAGAATGTCATTTAGAAATGATATTATCAGACAAACTGTGGGAATGTCAGTTAGAAATGATATTATCAGACTAACTGTGGGAATGTCAGTTAGAAATGATATGATCAGACAAACTGTGGGAATGTCAGTTAGAAATGATCAGACAATCTGTGGGAATGTCAGTTAGAAATGATATGATCAGACAAACTGTGGGAATGTCAGTTAGAAATGATATGATCAGACAAACTGTGGGAATGTCAGTTAGAAATTATATTATCAGACAAACTGTGGGAATGTCAGTTAGAAATTATATGATCAGACAAACTGTGAGAATGTCAGTTAGAAATGATATGATCAGACAAACTGTGGGAATGTCAGTTAGAAATTATATTATCAGACAAACTGTGGGAATGTCAGTTAGAAATTATATGATCAGACAAACTGTGGGAATGTCAGTTAGAAATGATATTATCAGACAAACTGTGGGAATGTCAGTTAGAAATGATATGATCAGACAAACTGTGGGAATGTCAGTTAGAAATGATATGATCAGACAAACTATGGAAATAACACCATGCAGCAAATTCATTGAGAAACAGAAGATCAGATGGATTGATATTTAGTAAGAATGCAGCCAGAACAACTACCAATGCAGGCACAACACATGAAAGAGTCTAAAGTGAAAGCAAGAGGCTGTCCTAGGAGATTATGGATAGATGACATTAAAGAGCTTCTACATCAACACAGAATGACAGTAGCCATTGCTGCGCATCAAGCAATGGATCGCAAACTGTTCCTCCCCACAACGCATAATGGCAGGAGTGGAAACTGATAATGATGGGGATGAATATCTTTGTGTTCATGAGTGGTGGAGCCACTTTTCATTGCTGAGATACAAGGTGATGTGAGTGATTGTGTTAGGTTTATTGTCTTTCTGTCGTAGACAACTGATTGGTCACATCAGAAGGAGACAGTCTACATTCTTTGGTGATATCTTAAGGAGAAAGCTGGAGCACATTGTGATGGTGGGAAAGTTGTCAGTGGATAAAAGGCAGAGGGAGAGAGAGAGAGATTCTGGATAGTTTGACATCATGGCATGGAAGATCATCTGTGTTAGAACTCATTGAAAGTAAAGGTGACAGATGGTTGTGGGAAGTCATGGCTACCACCTCCACAAGGCATGGATTGTAAGAAGAAGGTTGTGGATAGACATGGCTACCAACACCACAAAGCATGGATTGTAAGAAGAAGGTTGTGGATAGACATGGCTACCAATCCCACATGGCATATATTGTAAGAAGAAGGTTGTGGATAGACATGACTACTAACGCCACATGGCATATATTGTAAGAAGAAGGTTGTGGATAGACATGACTACCATTACCGCACAGACAGAACAAAAAGAACATATCGAAGGGCTATTCAACTGTTGGCCTACGGGCCAGCGAATCACTGTCAGTTGTATTATTGATTTTTCTACAGTGGGGCTCAGGCCTTTGGCCTGTGACGATCCCCATTTTCAAACTTGTGGCCCCTGGGTAAATTTATTTGAATAAGCCCTGACTTATAGAGCGGTGAAGACACTTGTCACCGCCAGGCGGCTCATTCCAAAATTGGGTGTTTTAAACATATCACTTTATTGTTAATCTAGCTTTGTGCAAGGGCAGTGGATTTTGTGTTAAGGTTATCTGGAGTGGTTGTGATTTGAGATTTCACATCATATCACTCTAGACATTCCAGTAAGTCCTCTGTCCCTTTCTTCAGCAGCAAGTGCAGAGTTACAATTCTGATGCTACCTGTAACTGATTTGTTTGTATGTGTGTCTATCTCACCCCTTCTCTGAGTGTTGAGCGTCAGCCAGGTCCCCTGATGACTCACTGCTATGCAGTTCTTTAGACTTTCGCATGACAAGGCAGATGTGGTCAAAGCCCTTTAGGAATCAGCAGAGATGGAAGATTATTATGGGCTGGAGAGAATGAGGTATCTGGGTGTAACCAGAGGGTCTGGCCGACTCAATACACTCAGAGGAAAGGCAAGACAGACATATAACCAGTTTGCGCCTGGTACCATCAGTATTGTAACTTTGCGCTGGCTGCTGAAGATGAGGACAGAGCATGCTTGGGAATGCCCCGAGTGCTGTGATGTCAGTTCTCGACTCAACTCAACCCAACTTATTAGACTTTTGTATCCATTAGTGCCTCCACACTGTTTACTGGCTCCCAAAGGGCCCTTACAACATCTTGCTTGTCATACAGTATGGAAGGGTATTAGATCTATTGTCCATTTATACAGGCATGTCTTAAAATGAAAAAAATTGACAGTGCCAACTGACCAGATATGCAGACTTCAAAAACATCTGTCATTGAAGATGGATAAGTGGAATAACTTGTTTGCATAGTGTCAGATCTGATTTTTGTGAGTGTTCTCATTCAACAGGTGTTGAATTAGGGTCTCAAGTGTAGAACTGATCCCTTTGATGCGGGCACACTTTTGTAGAATCTAGTTAACCAGCCCACCTTAGAGATAGTATCCATACATTTGTAACATTTAGCTGTTTCAAAGAACAGTGACCATCAACTCCCTCACCCTTCAGCTTCCTTTTATGATGATCTTGTTCAGTAACATCAATTCTTCCACATAATCAAGTATTGCTGTTTATTTTTCCAGATTGACTGCCTAATCAAACTCAGTGGTATGCCAGACCTGACTTTGTCCTTCGTCAACCCCAGGCTGCTGGACGATGTCAGTTTCCACCCGTGTGTTCGGTTTAAGAGATGGGAGGTACTGCTTGTGTCAGTTTGTCGTGTATTTTATTGTTGTTGCTGAAGATAACGGTTGTGTGTTAGCAGTAGTCTTGTGAAACGTGCAAACAGGAAGCACTGTCGTGGCATCATTTTGATTTAGTTGTACTTTTTATCTTGATATATTGAGGGACTTTGTGGTGTGGTTTCATCCTCTCATGCATTCATTCATTTATTCTTTCACTTACTCACTCGCCCATTCATTCACTCACCCATTCATAAATTCATTTGTTTACTCACCCATTTACTCACTCATTCACCCACCCATCTATTAAATAATGAACTATTTAATTCATTTTTTTCACCTATTCATTCAATCATTCATTTATTCCTTCACGCCTTCACTCACTTATTCATGTATTTGTCATTTCATTCATTCATTGTCTTATCTCATCTGTCTTGAGACATGCTGGTATTTCATGGTCTTCATTTATTCATTCATTCATTCATTTTTAATCGTTTCTGTTCTATCCTTTAGTACAAAAATAAATCATGGTCTTGTTTCATTAATTAATTTAAATTAATTAATTCGTCCATTTATTGATTCCAAAATTCATTCATTCAGTTAATGTTTTTTTATTTTTTTTTATTCTAGAGTGTAGAGGTCTTATGACCTTACGGTCTGGTTCCATTCATACGTAAAATTGTCTTTGCTCTGTAATTCATTCTTTATTTTGTTAATATTTATTCAGTTTTTTGTTACTTCAGTGCCGATTAATTGATTCATGTCATCTTTGCAGTCTGAAAAGATCCTGTCATTTGTACCACCAGATGGTCATTTCCGAATGATGTCTTACCACATCGGGTCAAACAAGTATGTACTCCATAAAACGACATTCAATTTTCTTCTTGTTTTTTGTGCGTGTTTTTAAAAATCTTTCTAATGTCTCACTGCTTATGCCATTAGTCACCTTACATCATTGTCAGAGGTCATAACACAGCTGTTGTTGTTGTTGTTTGTTGTTCTTGTCTGTTTCTTGTTTGCCCTTTGTTATCATCATCAGTTCTCTTTATGCCTAGTGGGTTGCACATGGGGTTTCAGACAGAACTTTCTATGCCTTCCTGTCCTGTGCAAACTTCAGTGCGGTTGTCCACGTCAGAGATGCAGCACTCAGTTCCCTTTCCATCATTCATTGTTTTTGGGCACCCCTTCTTTCTCTTTCCCTCTGGTGTCCATGTGAGAGCTGGTTTGGCATGTATATCAGGATTCATTCTCATAATGTGGCCAAGTCATTTCCATCTTCTCTTGGTTTTCATACTGTCTAGAGTTTCTTCGTTTGTGACTTGAAGTAGTTTAGTGTTTGAGATTGTATGTGGCCCTTTTTTTTTATGATGAGTTGAACAAAGTTTTTTAAGGTCAGGTCTTGGTCGGATATGACTGAGTTACCGTATAACAGTAGTTGGTGTCGCTCCTCTACTGCTAAGGCCACACTTTTTGGTAGCATATACCAAACCTGACATCCCACGTTTTGCTGACGGCTTTGGGCGGAGAAGCGCATTGGGGAGGGTACTAGCCTTATCCTAGTAAGAAAAAAATGCCTGGAGGACTTTCCAGGTCAAAAGCCTTATCTGGCAACTGGTCTAGGAGGGCAGCTCAGACAAGCGGACAGATAGAGCACTGCTCTTCTTATCCAGCAGCTTCTGCAGCATGCTTTGTTGCAAACATACTGGTGTTACCTTTCCTGTGGAGTAAACAAGGCAGACAGAAAGAGTGATCAAATGCATGAGCAACAAATGGTCTCTACAATACTACCCAGGCTTTGTGCAGTGGGGAAGAGGAACATTTTTCCTAATGTGGACAGGTCTTGCTAGTCACACTTGCAAATCGCCATGTTGTATGTCCATTGCTCCTCATCAGCACAGTATAACACTGTGTGTGATTTTATGAATTGAGATTGTTGATGATGTGTAGTTTTACATTTCACATATTGAAAATGTTGACTCTATATGATTTCATATTTCACAGATTGAAAATGTTGACTGTGTATGATTTCATATTCCACAGATTGAAAATGTCGTTCTCGAAGTTCCTTTTCCCAAATCTGTCCTAAATGTCACCTTGACTTGCAACCAAGGCAAGAACTCTTTTGATCCCGTCTCCAAGTTAATGACTTGGGATGTCGGCAAGATTGACCCTAACAAGTTGCCAAACATCAAGGGCACAGTAAGTAGTGTTTTACTGATGATTTTCTCCTGCATGTCTCCTTTGACAGCACAAGACAGTCTCAGTCCGCAGAAAAAAAAGAAATATTCATTCCAACCCTTTGCTACCAGTACAGACATCATCGCTCACAACAAATCAGAAAAGAAAATTAGTAACCATAGAAATGAGATGTCTGAGAAGGGCTGCAGGAGTGACCAGAAGAGATGAAATAAAAAGTGAGCTTATAAGAGAAACATTCTAATTACACACAAAGACAGCAAATTAAATGGTTCGCCCACTTAGGGAGAATGCCTTGTGATGCCATATCATACAAGAAAAGAGAAGAAGGATGTAGAGCACAAGGTAGACCAAGAACAATGTGGAAAGATAGCATCAGTGAAACATTAAAGCAGCATGATGTGTCTATGGTTGAGGCACCCAGAAGAGCAAGGAGCTGAAACTTACATCTCCCTCATCACCTACAGTGGTAAAAGAGAAAGTGAAGAAGAAGAAGAAGTCCCCACATTATTAATCAGTGTTGAATTAGGAATCGACATCACAGCACTCGGGACACTCCCAGGGGTGCTCAGTCCCCATCTGCAGCAGCAAGCGAAGAATTCCAATTCCAGTGGTAACAGTCATCATCATCATAAACCACTTCTGCCGTTAAGCGTCGTAGGGAGGAATAATTTGCGATCCAATGCACTCTGGCTGCTACTGGCTATTGTTGTGCCATGAAGGTGTAGAGTGTCTTTAACAATGTCGATGCATCTTTTCCGCAGCTGTCCTCTTGCTCTTGTAGTTGATCTTCTGAGATGTAAGGCTTGTGATGGTATTCAATCTTGCTGCATTCTAACGAGATGGCCAAACCACTTGCTGAACTTGATGGTACCAGGACCCGTCTGATTGTATATCCATCTCATCCTTCCCCTGAGTGTTGAGCGACGGCCAGATCCCCTGGTACATTATCAATCACCCACCCATAAACTCAGGAAATGGGGTGAGGGAAGACAAAGAGAATTTTATCTGTATGACTGGTAACATGGATAGGGCAGGGCACTGACCTGATCCGTGATTTTAGTGATCGCATGGATACAGCAAAGCCTGACCACTTATACTTATTTGAGTTTGGCACATGAACATTGTGGAGCCACAAGTTCACATCACAGTGGGAAGAGAGTGCTGCAGCGGGAAGTGATCAGGGGATCTGGCTGACACTCAGAGGAAGGACAAGACAGACATACTGTGGGACTGTCATCTGTACCATTAGCATTGGAACTTTGCACTGTCTGCTGAAGATGAGGATGGACTGAAGGTCGTGGGTTCGTTGCTTTTTGGTCAGAGAACCAGGACTCCACAGAGAAAGGGGCAGGTCTGAAAGAGATTAGCGTCTGCTCCCATAAACTAGTCTCGCACTTCATACTTCTTGTTGGTAAGTATTCCATACAACACACAAGAATTTACTAATATGTTAAATTTTCATCTGGGCTATAGGGGTTATTAACAGAGTTTAATAATTCTGAAATACCCAGTTTAGGCGATTTTGCAGCAGAGCACTTTGTCTTGATTTGCTAGTTGTTATGAGCATTGCCTGTTTACTGTAAAATTGCCAAGTGAAATCACAAACATAATTTTTTTAAATCTCTCTTTATCTCTTTGCCCTGTGGGCTCCAGAAAAAGGACTTCCAACTTATACTATTATTAATCCCACCACTGCTGAAGATTGAACAGACACCAGTATCATCGGAAACAAGCACACTGACCACTAGCTACTAGGCTTTTTTTTCCTACAAAAAATGTGCAGTTGTTACTTATCCGGGAAGTCCCTTTTACAGCAGCATTGAAAAAAATTATGTATAAAAAAGGTGCCAGATTTTTTATTTATTTTTTGGCTCTAGTTTATGGTTTATAGTCTCATATAAAAAAAATGTTCATGTTGTCTTCATGACAGATCACACTGCAGACTGGAGTGCCAGTGCCAGAATCCAACCCAACGATATCTGTAAGTCATTGTCAGTGCCCCATGAGTTTCCATGCATAAGAAAAATAAACGTAGTGTAGTGAAGTGTACTTCAGCACTGGAGGACACGCATGTGTTTTCAGAACAAAACCTTTTACATGAATCAAAATGGTTTTCATTTTTTTTAAAAGTGTTCCTGTGTATAGAAACTTATGGGACCAGTATTTTCTGTAAATAATCTTTTTCAACTAAAATATTAATTGACATTCTTTTTTTTTTTCTACTTCTTCTTTCAATGCTGTAAACTCTGGCAGAAAGTTCTGGTTTCTCGTAACTTCTGGACTTTGGTTTTGTTCCAGGAATTTAGTTTTACATGCACATCCATTTTACAGATCTAGTTCATTTTTAGGCAGACTGTTGATTCCTCGCCTCTCAGGCATATGCACTGGAGAACATTGGGATGACTGGAATCATCAACGGTAGGAGAGGCAGAGGCAGACCAAGCAAGGCAACACTTGATAACCTGAAGTGACGGTATGGTGGAATATCATCAGTGGAACTGATTCCAGATACCAAGGACCAAGATCTCCTGAGAGACATGAACGCCTATGCTGATGGGCAGGACACCTGATAATATGATGATGATGAATCTCTCAGTGATCTCTGAAGATGCATGATTTACATTTGATGTCATCGACTCTTTGTTTTCCAGTGATATCTTAAGAAGAATGATCATTATTTTCATTGTCATCATTATCAGTATCATCAGTGTGTGTGTCACTATCATCATCATCATCATCATCATCATCATCATCATCCTTATCCTCATAATCACTATCATCTATTGTGTGTCATGCAAATGTCTGCTTTCACAGTTCCGCATCTCACACAATCCTTGTCACGGATAAGGTCTGTACTCCCATTTCAGTGATTCTTTGTGGCTAAGTCTTCTGTGCATTGACCTTGGTGCCTTCCTCTTTAAATTGGATGTCACTAAGTCTTTCTGGTAGACTATGTTGAGAGCTGTGTTCTACACCAGTCTTGTTTCTGATCATGCGTCATTGTATATCTTTCTAACTAGTGTGATGGGGTTGGCATTTGTGGCTTAGGCGTTGCCAATGCGCTTTGTAGTGCTGGGTTTGATCCCAGCTGCGGACCTTGCGATGGTTTCGACAGTGGTATCGAGAAGCTGACCGTCCAGAAAGCAGTGGCAAACTACTGAACATAACATTTCTTCTTCAGCATTCCGAGCCCTTTAGGTTTATTGCTGCAGATATTACCCGCCTCCATTCATCTCTCTGGTTGGCCTTCTCTTTACAGTTTGTGACACCAAGTGTTTGCAGGTCTGCCTCAACATTATCTCTCCATCGTCTTCTTGGTCTATCTCATGGTCTACGACCATTCATCTTCCTTGTGTATACAGTTTTTACTTCTCTGTCATCTGACATTCTTTCAATATACCCTAACCATTTCAGTCTATTAGTTCTCATGATGCCAGTGATCAAAGGTGATTTAAACATATTAAATGTAACATTGCCTAGGAAAAACCACAACAGCCAATAAATGCTGGGGTTGGTTCTGCAATGTCCTGTAAAGGTTACACAACAACAATTTTTTTTTGGGTGATGGTTAAAGTATTGTCAGATACTGTTTCTTGTTGCATTTTCTGTCTGTCCATTCCTTCATTCAGATGTGTGTGGCAATGAGCTGGCTGGCAGATTGGCTGCTGCCACCCCTCTGTGCGGTGAGCTACTTTATGATAAAACAATGTGCAGCAGAACATACAGAGCATCCCTATCTGGAGAGGATGATTCACCTAAGTGAGCGGAGGGTCTGGAGAATTTTCTAGCCACAAGAGACAAACCTTTAGTTGGAGCATGTATGGGAATATCCGAGTGCAGTGCTGTTTCCTTGTTTGTGTTTACCGGCTCTAAACCCTGGTGGAAAGACCTGGTTTTTCGCCCATTTCTGGACTTAGTCTGTGTTCCAGGACCTGGGTTTGCATGTGCATCTGTTTTACAGATCTTGCTTATTTGTATTATGCATGCTGTTTGTTCTTTGCCTCTCTGGCAGATGCACTCCAGCTTTTAAGTAAGTCATAAGTTCGTTGACTTTTACGACATGCTTGTTGAGTAGGCAGTGGGTCTGTTCTTGTTTTCCCCACAGTGGGACCCCAGAACCCACATGGGGACAAGAGTCCAATGATAACATTTCTTGATTGATTGATTGATTCTTTTATTTATCTCTTATACTTCCACCAGGTGATGTTTACAATCAACACTCTAGCTATTTCCGGGTTAAAGGTTAACAGGCTTGACATGTATGGGGAGGTAAGTCTGCATGATTTCGGCTAACAAGTTCAGATAACTCTGTGTAGTTGTTTTATTATCTTGAGTTATTTTGTTTATTTAAATTAATGTTGCTACTCATTGTTTTATATTTTTTTCTGGGTTGTTGATTGTTGCTGTTAGGAATGCCAGTTGTTTGTTAATAGCAAGCTCAAAACACATGTGACTGGCATTTCTGTATGTTGTATACTTTCCGCATAACTGTGCCTAGATATAACCGTATCATTCAACCTCTTATTTTTCTCTCTCTTATTTCCACATTGACAGCTCTGATGTTCCTTGCAGAATTGTTCCTTTGTATTGCAGCGGACTTAGTTTGTGTAGTCTATGCACAGGTCAGTGTTTCTCCACTTGTGTTGCCTCACAGCTGCCACTGTTGCAATCAACATTTCCAGCCATAGTACCCAGTGTTATACTTGTTGAGAAATAGATTTAATTAAAAATAGGGGGGGGGGGGGGGGGGGGTTAACCCACATATGTAAAATGATGAATAGCTAATAAGATAAATTCCAAATATTTCTGCATTGCATTGTCCACAAAGCGTGTGTGAGTGCGCACAAAAAGTTTCAGCTGAATCGCTTTTTAAAAAATAGTGTAAAAATCAGATGCAATGTTTATACGAGACAAACAAACAAACAAAAGCAAACTTAATAAAAGCTTATAAATAAAGACCTTTTCTTGTGGTGAATTAGGCATATGTCATAAATAAATAAAGTATGTAAAGTACCCTTTTTACGTCGGGCATATGATGCTAGACTTATAACTGTATACACCAGTTAGCAACCATCAGTATTGGAACTCTGCTCTGGCTACTGAAGATGAGGACGGAGCATGCATGGGAAAGCTCCAGTGCTGTAATGTCAATTCTTGACTCAACTCAACTCAACACCAGTTAGCACTCATTGGGTGATGTAGTCAACATTTCAGCCGCCAGCTTTACTTCCCGGGACATTTCTTTTCTCTCTTCATCTTGATATTTCATGAATGTTTAACTGACTTATTCCTGTTTCACAAAGCGAAAATCTCTGAAAGATCTGAGATCAGTGAGTATTTATTCTCCTCTGCCCAGTTTGTCATCAGCATACTGTCTGCCATTTGTTTGTTTTATCCTGAGAGATGGCATGTGTTTTATCCCGAGAAATTGCATAGCATTTGTTTTATCCCAAGAGATGGCATGTGTTTTATCCCGAGAGATAGCATAGCATGTGTTTTATCCCGAGAGATGGCATAGCAAGTGTTTTATCCTGAGAGATGGCGTAGCATGTGTTTTATCCCGAGAGATGGCATAGCATGTGTTTTATCCCGAGAGGTGGCGTAGCATGTGTTTTATCCCGAGAGAGAGCATAGAATGTGTTTTATCCCGAGAGATGGTCCCTGGCTCTCTAGCGTGGTTGGCTAAACCGGACTGCGCGGTGACCGGGTGACGAACTCCTTGTGGTCTGGGTTCTCGCCCGGGGGTAGGCAGAAAAGCTACATTTTTCCCATATTTACGGTATTTATCATGGAATCAAGGCCGAAGGGTTGCGATATCCATAATATCTAGCCTAAGGGTTAACAACTCATGGCTTCTGGATACTAAAAAAAAAAAAAATCCAGAGAGATGGCCTTCTTGACATTGTTGTGATGAGACAGCATCTGTTGGTCTTGGAATGCTAGGCATTTGTAGCGTGTCTATCAGACTTTTGATACAGCAAACCATTTAATACTCTTTTTTTCTTTTTTTTAAATTTTTGTTTCTTGGTTTATTTTTTAGTTGGGCTCACAGAACATGCCATGAAAAATAGAATTTGTCTGTTTCATGAAGAATGGCTTGCATGGCTTGATAGGGCATATCGTGGATGTTCTGGCTAAGGATCTATGGGTGTGTGCGAGTCAATGAGCAGGCTGATTTATTGGCTGCTGCTGCTGCTGCTGCTCTTCAGGTTGATGGGTTACTTTGTGATTAGATGGATAGGGTAAGGACTTTCTGGGATAAAGTAGGATACATTCCTGGCGAGAGTAGTTCTGCGCCACACTCATCTTGTAGGAAAAAGATCATCAGGTAATCGTAGTTCCTACTTTGTAGCAAATGGGTCACCCCTATTTCTGTGCCAATGAAAACAACATAGAATGTCCATTGCCGTCCCTCTTAAAAACAAAAACAAAATTTGACATGGACTGTGCTGTTAGCAAATCCAACATCATACATTCACATTGTTTCCATAAGGCTGCAGTCAGAAATGCCACCAGTCTGGCACTAGAAATGCAGTTTATCATTGATGGAAGCAGCAGTTACAACAGATCAGTAGAAAACATAAGAAGGCTTGATCAGATCACCACTGGCATCATTTGGCTTGGGAACCCATTGTTAGCTGCTGAAAAAGGAGGTGAAGCATGTGAGCAAATGTCTAGAGTGTAATGTAAGTAAAGTAAAGAACTTTTTACGCCTTTACGGGCTTATGGGAAGAGCACCCATATTTTTACAGACCAATCTGCACTAGGTGGATAATGTGATCAGCATTACGCCGGCCGTCTTTACTTCCCCAGGACATCCATCCTGGTACCCATTTTAGGCTGGGCCGACCTGCGACGCCCCATACCATGATAAAAATCCACGCAGCCAGCAGTGGGTTTTGATCGCGGTACGTTGGAATTACGACTCAGACTCGCAACGCCTAAGCCACGGACCCCACAAGTGTAATATGTCTATTCTTAATTGATTAATTCATTCTTGGTTGTGTTCTAATGGCCTGTTTTCACATTCCTTATAACCTTCACCCGAGTGTCAGTTGTTTTCACATTCCTCGTAACCTCCACCCGAGTGTTGGCTGTTTTCAAAAGTGTGGAATTTATTTGATCAGCTTTGCTATTTTTGTTATGTGGTTTTTTTTGAAGAGAACTTCTTTCACTGCACTTGCCTATCTCTGTTTGTGCTACAGTGTGCTTGAATAAATCACATGACCAGAATCCCAGCTCAGTGCTCAAACTTTGGCACCAGCAGTGTTCCAGATGCCTGTATACCAGAATAAAACCAGCTATAAGTATCCTGTTGTGAGTTGGTTTTCTAACAAACAGCAGCCTGAGACCTTAAGTCTCAGAGCCCTGAAACTGTCATCCTCAAAAGAGCTGACCTGTCTGGCATCGGTACAATTCTCAAACAATCCCAGTTGCAGTTCCCACTTCATAGCAGACAGGTCAGGTCATGGTTGCTCTGTTTCTGTGCCAACAAAAACCACAAGAATGACCATTGATGTCATAACAATCCCGGTTTTGCTGGCCAGATAGATTAGTTTGATGTCAGACTAACGACCAAGTGTACAGGAATCTGCTACATAAAACTACAAGGAAAATTCTGACACTATGGACAAAAGAAACATTTTGTGTTCCGGGGCCCTATTATAGAAGGAACAACAACAACAAATAGACCCACTGCCTACCCAAAAGCGTGTCGTAAGAGTCGACTAATTGGGAGTTTCCTTCGAAGTTGGAGTGCATCTGCCTGAGAGGCACGGAACCAGCAGTCTGCATACAGATTAGTCAGATCTGTAAAATGGGTGCATACGCAACACTCAGGTTCTGGAACAGGACTGCAGTTCAAAAGCAGACAAATAACCAGAACTTTCCGCCAGAGTTTACAGCTGGTGAACGCAAAGAAGAAGAAGACTTTAAAGGATAAATCGCATTCAAAGACGTGTGGCCTTAATCCTGATATATAGACGTTTGCTGCATGCAGCCTTTCATGCTGATGCTCATCTCTTAGAGAGTGAAGGCATGTGAAATAGCCAGAATAGCAGCAGTTCAAAATGAAGGCATGTGAAATAGCCAGAATAGCAGCAGCAGTTCAAAATGAAGGCATGTGAAATAGCCAGAATAGCAGCAGCAGTTCAAAATGAAGGCATGTGAAATAGCCAGAATAGCAGCAGCAGTTCAAAAAAGACAAACCAGAATAGGCCATGGGCTGGACCTCCAAACTGATGTGGCTCAGATCTCATGCACACACTGCACAAGAACTCTCCATGCCAGGATTGCACTTATCAACCATCTGTGTACTCATTAACCTCCCTGTTCGGAGCGGATGAAAGGACTGCTTTCATCATTTGTAATGGACCCCCCCCCCCCCCCAAAAAAAAATTGTTTTTGAGATCTTTTTATTTTTTCCTGAGACCTTTTGATATGATCGTAAGACCTTTTGCTACAATGCTGAGACCTTTTATTATTTTCATGAGACCTTTTGTTATATTCTTGAGACCTTTTATTATTTTCATGAGACCTTTTGTTATATTCCTGAGACTTTTTGTTATGTTCCCAAGACCTCTTGATATGTTCCTGAGACCTTTTGATGTGTTCCTGAGACTTTTTATGTTCCTGAGACCTTTTGCTTTGTTCCTGAGACCTTTTATGTTTCTTAGGATTTCAAAATTTGTTTCTGAGATCTTGCAGCTTATTTCTGAAGCATTCTGTAATACAGATATCTTCTAATTTTTTTTCTAAAATCTCATACAGGTTATAAATCACTTTTATATTGTTCATTTCTGAGAACAACTTTAACCTCCCAGACTTCTTTTTGTTCTGTTTCTCTGAACGTTTATTTTCACACCTGAGATTTTTTAGTTTAATTTATAGACAAGGGTTCATCGTCCGTAGGGGTAGAGTGGGCATGTTGAACTACTAACTTGCCTTTTGGGAGTGTTGGCATGGGCATCCGTTCACTCTTTGTTTATATTTTGGATGTTTTGGGTGTCGGCAGATTTGTTGTGTCTGTGTCCAGAAGCAGGGTACAAAAGACATAATTTATTGGACTAAATTAGTATTATTAGTTATAATGCATAAGTTAGTCAAGTAAAGTTCTTCTTTGTTGTTTTCATCACCTGTAAACCCTGACAGAAAATTATGGTTTATCCACTTCTGGATTAGAGTCTTGTTCCAGAATTTGAGTTGTGCATGCAGATCCATTTGACAGATCTGGTTTCTTTGTATGCAGACTGTTGGTTCCTTGCCTCTAG